GTGCCTGCTGGAAAATGGCTGCACTGTATGGAAGGAAGGTGGCAAACCCAAATGCTGCTCTGAGAGCAACTGCCATGGTTCATTCCAGAGCATCCATGGGAGGTAGCCAGACAGCTGGAGCTCCCAGTCCCCGAGAGACAAGCACAGCAGCAGAGTCCAGCTTGGCACCAGCCTCTGTCCCCTCACACCCAAAGACCCTTTGCCAGAGGCCGTCCCCAGCTCAGGATGGAGCACGCACCTTGGCTGGGGAGCTGGAACAGGGTCAGCACAGCACTGGCCCCATACTGGGGCTGGGGGGCCGTGTTCACCAACATGCTCAGGGCTGTGCCTGCCAGCAGCCTCGTGTCCTTGTTCAGGGTCTGGACTCATAGGGAAGCAAAGGCACAACTCAAAACACCATTTAAACGCCAACCACATTTAACTGCCCCTGCAAGCAGCTACATGGGGTCTCACAGACATGCCACACACTGGGCTGTCTCTGCAGGCTTGCCCTGGGGAATGGGGAAAGCACCCAGGAAGGACAGCACTGCTCTGCTCCTTGGGACAGGCAGCTCCATCCTTCCCAGGGCTGTACACACCTTCTCCCAAACCACCTCCAGCAGCAGTCCCAAGAGGCTCTGCAGGGTCTCACTCTTTCCTGTTGTGCTCCACACCAGGGGGGCCATGTCCTTTGGCAGTGCCTGGAAGACCTGGAGGCAGGCCTGGAGGAGCAGGAGGTGCCACAGGGATAATCAGTATTCCTTACCTCTGGAAAAGCAGCAATGCCTCAGGAATGGCCATTCAAAGCAGCTTGATATGTTACATCCCTCTGGACATTGCTGCTGCTGCCCTGTCAGTCCTTGCAGGTACTAATCCTTCCCCTGCTCCCCAGTCTGGCTCCTACCTTGATGACCAGGTAGCCCCACGTGCTGCCAGGTGTGGGCTGGCCCTGCAGCACCCAGCGCAGGGTGGTGGCCAGGCGCTGCAGCAGCGAGGTCAGGTTCTGCCGCCAGTGCTGCCGGCCCAGGCTGCTCTCCTCCAAGAACATGGACACTGCGGGCAGGGGGACAGCATCAGCCCCTGGCCCTCCTGCAGCCAGCCCTGCTTCCAGTTCAGCCAAGGGCTGCACTGTTGGTAAACGAGGTAAAAACAGGGCTGGGATGTAGGGGATGCTTTGGCTTGTCTGGTTTCCAGCTGTGGTTGGGCAGAGCTGGATGCTGCTGGAATCTCTGTAGAGATCACATGGATCTGGCTGATCCCCGCTCCCCTCCCATGAGCACAGAGTTTGGGTTGGCAGAAAGTGTTCTGTGCACTGATGGTGTGAGCTGGGAGAAAACCCCAGAAGGTAAAGAACAACAACTCACCTGACTGAAGGTCTCCAGGAGAGAGCACCTGTAAGGACAGAAGGATAGTTTATCCTGTGTAACAAAATGCTGGGGCTCGGTGCCTTGGGCAGAAGGGTTCTGCTAGTGCCAGAAGCTGCCCCAGGGATGAGCAAAGGGCTGGTGGGATAGGCAGACACATGTTGCCAGCTGCAAGCAAGGGCAAGTCCCCAGAATAATGGGAACTGAAGTGAAGGACTGGAGGCAGCCCAAAACAGGAGGTCCCTGTGGCACATGGTCTCCAGCCAAGTCCTCATAAAAGCCAGTGCCACCGCTTCTCTCACCTCTCCCTGCAGTGCCAAGCCAGCCAGCAGCGTGTTCACCTCCTGGGCCAACAGGCCTTCCTTCCCCACTGCCAGCTGGGTCACCATCTGCCAAGAGAGACCCCAAGTCAGTTGCTCTGCCCAGAGCCCTGGGAGACACCAGCTACCAAGAGCTATCGGGGGAGCCTGTGGCACCTCTGAGCCCCTTTGCTGGTAAGGATGCCAGAAAGCTCCAGAGCTGTGCCAGGAGTGGGCAAAGGCAGCCCAGCTGATTGTCTTACAGACCTGTTCCAGTTTCTGGAAGGAGCTGGAGCTGCTGGTTGCCTCCATCTGGAAAGCCAGGACACAGCGGAGGAGGGGTCGTGCCTCTGCCTCACCCAGTGCCTGCAGACCCTCGCTCAGCAGCCGTGTCAGCTGGAGAGCCTCCTCCAGGTGCTTCTCTTTGCATCTCTTGGCAGTACTCCTGGAACAGGACAAGGACAGGGGTGAGGATACCCTGGCTCGGTGAAGTTTTTAGTGGGGGAATACCCCGACTCAGTGGAGTCTGGGATTGGGATGCCCCAGTTTGCGATGCTCCTCTCTCCCAGCACTGCACTGGAGCGAGGACGGAGGGACGGCGGCGGTGGGGGGGAGCGGAGCTACACGAAATCCTCAAAGCTCAGCGCATGCAAGCCCGTGGTGGGGCAGAAGGGCTCGAAAATCCTAAAACCTGCGGGCCTGATGTTGCTGAGTGAGCTAGAAGGGCACCTGAGCGTGGCACGAACCCCTTGCTGGGTATCGATCTTCTCTC